CTGAAATCTGATCAGCATGGATGATTCTACTGGTTGTTGAAATATTAATAAATAGCTTCCAGCACAGCAGTGAAGGGAAAGTATTTGGCTTGTAAGATTTCCCCCTGTAGTTAAAATGTCTATTTCCTCAGGATAGTCAAAATGAGCATTTTTGCAGCATGGAATGCTTTTAGGCTATTGTCGTTGATAACCTCTATCCTGCAAGGTATGTTGTTATACGTTGTGGAGTTAGAACCAACCTCTAGCTGATCTTTCAGAAGATTTTCAGAGGCAGTAAATTGCACCAGAAGGGACTGTCCATCTTTCTCCTGCAGAGCAGCTGGTAGATGCAAACCTCATGCCTTCATATTGACAGCATAGCTCCCTACCACTAGGCTAACAGTGCTCCCTATCTTGTGTGATAAAGCCAAAAAGATAGTATGGAATAATTCAAATGAATATGAACTCACTCAACTCATCGGTACCTGGAAAGATGATGCTAAAAGAAATGAACTTACATTAGAAAAAGAGGAGTAAGACGGCAAGAACAAAGTTCACTCATTCTCTGGTTTTACATGGAATTTGCACTATGTCAACTCTTAGCTTTTTTTATTCCACAAATATTTATTGAATGTATTGTCTGCTGCTACAACTTCCACTGCTACTATTACTAGTCACCATTTATGTTTCCAGCTTTAGTATCCTGCTGTCATTACAAAGTCAAATAAGTCATTGTCCTTGCTACTATCATCCAGTGGGGAGATAGTTACAACAGTTACAGTCACTGTGTCAATCTGTATCACTGATGATCTTCCTCTCTTTCGCTGGCCCTCTACCTTGCTCGGCATAATGTCTTTTTCCAAGGACTGGCCCCGCCTAACAACATATCCAGGATACATGAGATGACGTTTCACCATCCTTACCTCTTAGGAGCACCCTAGCTGTACTTCCTCCAAAATGTATTTATTTGTTCTTTATGCAGACCATAGTATATTTAAATAGGGTGCAGGTGCAATCTGAATTCTGCCCACTTCAAAGGGGAAATATCTTCATCATGATATATTACTCTGGAGATGAAAAGACAAGGGAAAACGGGGTTGCCTTTATAGTAAAAAAAGTTATTTCTAGATCCATCTTGAAGTACAACATCGTGAGTGACAGGATCATATCCATACGCTTACAAGGAAGTCCAGTGGATACCACTATCATTCAGATATGTGCACCAACAACCAGAGCC